CCTTCACCAAGGCAATTACAAAAAAATGTACATAGCGTGATAATGATTTTCAATTATGAATTGTGGATATTGTAAGTGAGGGATTGATATAGAGGGGTTGTGATAGGCCTCGTCGTAGTTCAAGGGGGGGGGGGGGGGGGGGAGCGACAGAAAGCTGGGGCCTGAAAAGTAATCGGCCGATATCGCATTGGGAAGACGAAATCTTTTTTTAAATCGACGGTACTGTCGGTGAAGTGGAGGACATCGTCGCTAGGAGGATGATGGCCAATTGGATGAGACTGGTGGTGGAATGTCAGTCAATGGAGAGAATACGGCTGAGAGCACGTCCGCCATGGAGGTGGAACGTCGGGATCGGCTCGTTCGCAGAAGTGTGATCGATTGTGGCCTCGCAGGACGATGACGAATGGCGAAATGCCATTCTTTCATTTGGCTTGGGGAGGCCATCGTACAGCAGCGGTTAGGCTGTGGCCAAAGACGATGAGGCAGGGGTGACCTGGCTAGATTTGCACCTGATTTCGAATTCTCGCGAACGCCAAAAAAAAAACCTCACAAATTAGAAATCCAGTCGGGACTCTCTTCCAGAAACAAATCGTGCCTCTTATCTGCTCACCACCAGCTTGTCTCATCCACCTCCATGCCTATTATCGACCACGGCGATGTGATTTATAAATCTGAAACGCGACACGGCTCTGAAGAGGTCCGGAGCCCGGCTTCCATTCGGCCTTGCGTGCTTTATTCTAAATTAGAGCCGCCTCTGTTCATCATCGTGACCTCCACCGTAAATCTGGCGGCCTTCCACTATCGACATGCAGGGACTTGCCGTGGTCTGGGCTCATTTTGAAAGCATTCACTCAGGGTCTGCCGCGAGGTTCATCTGGTTCGCTCATGCTGGATTTTAACGATCGCAAGCTAAGACGCGCCCACGACCAAATCACACGATCGCATCGTCAGATCTCGCAAGCTAAGCAGGGATGAAGCTTGGACACCACGGGAATTGGCATCCGTGCTCGGGCGGCATGCATTAGCTGGTCGAGATGGCCAATTAACCGGGTGCTGAGTCAAAGAGCCGCGCCATCTACCGCATCCAAGCGACGCGCATGATGACGGGCTCGGGCAACATCCTGAAGAAGCACGCAGGCGACCAGGAGCGCAGGGCCTCGAGCCCGCAGAGCGTCTCGGTGGCCAAACAGATGGACGAGCACATGGACGAGCACACCACCTAGACCGACTACGAGCCGTGCTCGTGTGCGCTGAGCGTCGTGCACCGGGACGGCGACCTCGCCAGAGCATGGCCTCCAGCCTGCCCCTGCCCCGAGCCTACACAGGGCAGGGCCTCGAGCCCACACACTGCACGGTCGCGATCGGCCCGGGCTGGCTGATCAAATCTGTCTGGGTTGGCTCTTGCAGTGAAAACGGTGGCAACCCTCACCTCGTGACGCACGACTCAATTCCTCCCATCGCCGCTAGGTTCGGAGAACGTTTCGTCATTCGGACTTGGAAACAATTTTGGCGTCTCCTCTACCACTACCATCTGTTCCGTCCCAATCGGTCTTCTCTGACAAACGGGATTCATTTTCTGTGGAAAAATCTGCATAAGTGCAGATTGATTTTGATCGTTGTTCTACAAATAACCAACTTGATGTACCCAATTTGTTTGCTTTGTGTTTATTCTTCGTCCCGACAAATTGATTTGTTCTTAATCGTGAAGGTTTGGTTAATACATCTGCCACTTAATTTCCTTGCTTTGCAATTGACATTTATTCTTTTGTTTGCCTTTGTAAGCCTTGGTCTCTTAACATGGCTGAATTATAAAGGATCTGACTCCCCGACGGCTTGATGTAATGACACAACGGTTAATAGATTGCATTAAATGATTATGCTCATGATGCACCCATCGAATCATGCGTGTATAAACGAATGATTTATGATGCATCGTAATTACATGCAAATTATATGCTCGTGTTACATTTAGGGTAACGGGTTTACAACAGCAAAAAAACAACAAATTTCGATTTAAAGCTTTCGTGACTGCAAGGATTCATCTTCTTTGGTTCTTTCGGTAAAGTCACGTAGAATGAGAATAAAATAATAAATTGATAAAATAAAATAACACAATAATATTCTCACGACGTTTCGGCCGCAACACAAGCGGCCTTCATCAGGTGATGGGACGAGACTGTCTGGAGGACAGCGCTGTGTGTTATTTTATTTTATCAATTTATTATTTTATTCTCATTCTACGTGACTTTACCGAAAGAACCAAAGAAGAGAAAAAAAACAACAGATAATATAAAACAAAGCAAATGAGAAACTATACAAATGAGATGGTAAAAACGAGGCACATTGTTTAATAGAATGGAGACTCTGCCTAGTCAGCTAGACGGTGCCTAGTGGGTATATAAATAAGGGTAAGTAGGTGTTCTTTCGGTAAAGTCACGTAGAAGGGAAACAATAAAATAATAAAAATATAAAACAATACAATTCTCACGACGTTTCGACTGCAACACAAGCAATCATTATCAGGTGTGAAAACCAGAAAATTTTCTTGTTGTGGGTGGCTATGTAGGTAGATGGATACTTAGGTCAATCAGAAGGTGGATGAGTGGGTAGTATGTGGGGATGTAATTAGATGGGCATGCATGTGGGTAAGTGGCTTGATAGATATGTGGGTGGGTATATGTGTGTGTGTGTATATATACAAATAGCACCTGGGTCTGTCCCTTGACCTCTTACCGGCGATCCTTCAACACTTCACATGGCCTCAAGGTGCACCTAGCATGGCACGAGCACCGTGCTAACGTCAAACGGCGGTTGTTGGTGGGTGAGTGGGTAGTTATGTTGTTTGGTGGTTGTTTAGGTAGGTGTATAGGTGGGTGGGTGCTTAGGTCAGTAGGCAGGTGAGTAAGCAACTGGCGTTGTGAGTGGGTAGGCGGAAGAGTATGCAGCTGGGTGGACGGATGGTTTAACAGGTCAACACACCATCACAGCAGCATCGATGCCTGCAAAAAAACAACAACTCGAGCTCCCCTACTACCCTCCGCCGGCAAAACGAGGGTTTAGCAAAAGGCCCAGGTGTGATGTCAGCAATGTAATGAATTGAATGATTGATAGGTGCACATGGGACTTACATTCATTATATTACTCACTCCTGACCTTGGAGCTTTGCAATACCCAGGCGGATGCCAAAACCGGCGGAAGGAAAGCTGATTTTTCAACAACATTCCGAAGCAGCAGTTATGTAACAATGTCCCCGAGGCGTAAATAGCACGCATCAATTGCGCGCATACAGAGCAAAAGGGGGCGTTAACGGCACACGCACTCCTCGTGTTAAGAAGGACGACAATGACGGCGAGACCGCGACTCGGGAGGCATCGACGGCGCCTCCGGCGCGGACGTCATGCAACCCACCCAAAGAGACACACAAACAGTTTCCCCGGCCAGCTCCGTGTTTACAGATTGTGACTCAATTCTTTTTTGTTTGTTATCACTGTCATTTAATTCTACTCGGCTGCGGCAGCACGCGTCGGATGCGCTCGAGGCGTCTGGTGCAGAGGAAGTGAGAGACAGAGAGAGAAAGAGAAACAATGTAAGTAACTAATTCACACACAAATGGGTCTAAAGCACAACAACTTGGAGATTTTAATCACCGACCCTCTCCCGTTGAGTCTTTCGAGCGCCGCGACGCGAGCGTGGTGCATGCAGCGGCCGGCCGAGTCGAAGTACGAACGGCAAGTTGGTGATTAAAGCGTCGGTATTGATTTGATTTTATTCGGCGTCGCCCGTTCGAAACGTTCGACGCTCATGGAAGTTTGTGAGCTTCGCAGGATCGAGGCTGCCAAGTGTACGCCAAATCCCTAGCCCCCCCCCTCACCCACCAACCCATCTTCCCACCTTCGCCCAAGCGGTCGTCTTCTGTTAACGCAAACACCGACCTGGAGGAGACCGAGTTGGAATGATCAAGCCTCTCGCGCACACCACCACCACCGCCACACCACCACCACCATCGCTACCACCACCGCCACACCACCGCCACCACCACCGCCACCACCACCGCCACACCACCGCCACCGACACTACCACCACCACCACCGCTACCACCACCACCGCCACCACCACCACCGCCACCACCACCGCCACCACACCACCACCACCGCTACCACCGCCACACCACAGTGCCCACGCGCGGTTGTTGATTTGGACGGACGTTTGAGAAGAAAGACAAAGCCAAATTCTCGTCGTAGTTTGAGCGTAGACGATGGCAAATGTCCGAATTTTTTGGACAACTCTTAAACGTCTGTGGATTTAATTTCATCAGTCTCTTCTCCGCGAGGTCAACTGCAGCAGTCAGGCATTTTAAGATTTTTAGTCCGGTGATTCTTAAAAGTAAAACTCATGTGCAAGTATGCATCAGGGGCGACCTCTCTTAGCTGTCAAATGTTGGTGGTGTGAGCTGTGCTGCAAATTTCGCCCAAACCATTATTTTAAGGTCATCCCATCGTGAATTCTCGCTCACACACAAATATCCAATGGGCATTTGTGGTCTTCGTCAGTGTACTGCAGTCTCGAAACGATGTTACCACATTGTCTTAGTGTGCATCTTCAGTCAAGACGTATTCATGCGTCGTCATAATAAATCACACTTTGGTCCGGTGGGAGGTCGCCGTCACTGACATCCTCGATGATTTTCGTCCACTCACAGATCTCGTCAACTGCGGCGAGCTCCTTGCCGACGAACATCATGGTCGCCCGTTTCATCAAAGAAAAAGTTCACAGCGGTCAACATCGGCGGCTCGGCGCCACAATGAAAGTGGAGCCACCTCCTCGACCCTCGCGCGAACTTTGACCTTCGTCCCTCCGGGCCAACCCCGTCCGCAGAGATCAACACGGCAAGGGACATTTAGAAGCGAGACAGAGGGAGACACAGAAAGAGAGAGAGAGACCACTAAATAACAACAACAAAAACAGGGGTGGGAGGGGGGGGGGGAAAGTCCGCCACTTACATGGTCTCGTCGTTCTGGAACTCCAGCTCGCCGTATGTATCCTCAAAGTCCTCGCCGCTGCCCTTGGCCGTGCCCTCCACCGTCTTGTAGGGCACCACGACGGTGCCGCGAGCACCCGACGTGCGCAGCACCCGCACCTCCATGATGCCCACGCTCTCGCTCACGTGCGCCATCTTGTCCTCGAACGTGAAGATGCCGGCGTGGTCGTCGTCGAAGATGGTCACCGTCGCCACGTAGGGCGGCACGAGCCGCACGGCGGGGAACGCCGCCGCCGCCGCCGCGCCGACGCCCGCCAACCCGCCGTGGTTCTGCTCGAAGGTCGAGTCGAGGGCAGGGCTCACGTGGACGTCGTAGAGGCGCACGAAGAAGTGCTCGTCCTCCTCAAAGATGTCGTCGTCGATGATGCCCACGTTGATCTCCTTCTGCGTCTCGCCGGCCTTGAAGACCAGCGTGCCCTCGCTGTACTCGTAGTCCGAGCCGGCCTTCGCCGTGCCGTCCTCCGTCTTGTAGCGGACGTACACGACGTTGGCGAGGTCGCCGTCCCGCCGCACGACGCTCAGCGCGCACGAGCCGCAGTTCTCCAGGCAGATGTACGAGCACGGCTCGTAGTGGATCTTGGTGGTGTGCTCGTCCGTCTGCTCGGCCACCGACACGCTGTGCAGGCTCGAGGCCCTGCGCGCCTGGTCGGCCGCGTGCTTCTTCAGGATGTTGCCAGAGCCCGTCATCATGCGCGTCGCCTGGATGCGGTAGAAGGCGCGGCTCTTCTGCTGCTGGATCAGCGCCTGGTAGTTGGCCATCTCCACCAGCTGGTCCATGTCCTTCTCGGGGTACTTCTGCTTCAGCTCCTTGAGGATCCGAATCATCTCGCGGCGGCTCTCGTCCGCGTCGTTCGACTCGGGCAGCACCAGCGCGCCGCCATCCACCGTCGAGTCGTCTCCACCGCCGCCGCTGCCGCCGCTGCCGCCGCCGCCCGAGCCGATCACCTTGCCATCCATCTCGATGCCGGCCTTGGGCCGCTCGCCCTCCGTCTCGATGATGATGCCGTGCCGCTTGGTGCGGTACTTCTTGTACATGTACTTGTAGAAGAGCAGCCGGCGGTCGGCGACCCACGCTAACATCACGCACACGGGGAAGAACATGAGGGTGACGAGGCTCTCCCACACTTCAACGATGCCCGGTGAGATGACCGCCAGGATCAAGTAGAGCCAGATGTAGGCGAAGATGCTCCACGTGGCTGTCACGAAGAACACGCGCAGGTGCTTGATCTTGCGCGACTCGCCGTCGGGGATGACATACACGCACAGGCCGATGATGACGAACATGTTGAAGGCAGCGCTGCCCACGATGGTGCTGGGGCCCAGCTCGCCCGCCTTGAACTCGTGGCCAACGACCTCAATGATGGAGAGCAGAATCTCGGGCGCCGACGAGCCGAGAGCCATGAGCGTCAGGTTGGAGACCGTCTCGTTCCACACTCGCACCGTGGCGCGAGTCGTCTCCCCGTTGGCCCGGCGGATGATGACCTCGCGCTCCTGCGACGTAATCACCTCGATCGACGCCATGAAGCGGTCGGCGATGATCGACACGCCCAGGAACATGTAGACGAGCGCCACGAAGTAGACGATGGCACGCGCCACCTTGTCGCCCAGCGACGGGTTCTCCGGGAACCAGATGGGCAGCAGGATGCCCTCCTTGCACTTGTAGGAGCCGCCGCACGTGCCGTTGGCCGGCGAGCCGCCGCCGCTGCCGCTTCCACCCGGCTCGAGCACCGATCCGGCCTCCGCGCGGCACAGCAGCGATGCCAGCACGGCCGCCGCCAGCGGAGGTGACAGCAGCAGCATCGGCGGCAGCCGCGGCCGGAACGCCGGCGGAGCCATGCGAGTGCGGGCGTGGGCGGAGGGGGCGTCGTAGTCACGCCGCTGTCGCCGCTGCCGCCGCTGTCGCCGCGCGTCGCTTCGCTCTCGGGGGTCCAGGACGGTGGGAGCGGCTCGGGCAGCAGGGAACTGTGGGGGGGTCAGGGTTTGGGGATCCGCCGGTTAGAGGAGAGGTACATTGAGGTGCAATGTTGGTGCCGCGGCGGTGAGATGCTAACTACCTCGCCTGGTATACAGGAGGTCGTGGGTTCAGTCCCGACCCTGATGCCTGCTGTATATTTCGAGTTTGCGTCTCTCCACGTGGTTGTGTGGATTTTTCTCCAGGTCCTCCGGTTTTTCACCGCCACGTTTAGAATCAACATCACGCGTTTAGAGTGTTTTGCTGCTATACATTTCCACGCGATAAGCCACTTCGATGACCTCTCATTCGTGATAACCAGATCGCTTCTGAAAAAAAATTATGCAGCTCGGTGGGCCTTACCCGGCAAAATAAATAGTTGAATAATTGAATGGTAATAGTTACTTTGGGATGGTAACACCGTGGTAATCATTGCCAATTTTAGTTTTTGATAGGGGCACCCCTTTTGCATCCAGGGAAGTCTCGGCAGAACTTTGCACTCGACAAGCGACTCGCATCCCAACACATTTTTGAAAGGGCACCCCCAGTGGCAGCTGTCCCTGTGTGGTGCAACGCGACTCGGCACCGACCCCTGCAAGCAGCAGGGGGAGAACGATGTTCGCTGCCACAGTTTGCATAATCCCGATTGAGTAATTTGCGGGTAATGTTTTGAAGCCGACGAATTTTGGACCATGATGCGCCGGCACACAATGGCTAACTATTCTCCGAGTGACGTCAGGGGATCTTTAATGTCCACTGTGAAGTAGACGGAGGTCGTGTATTGTTGAGGTGAATATGCCCGGGGCATTAACTAGGGCGGCCTGCCATATCAGAACCGCAACCAACTCTATGCAACAAGAAGCGATGCCATCGCCCCTGCATTACAAATGTGTTACATATGTTGAGGAGTAGAGGGGTGACGGAATGTCACACTCGCCTCGGGAGGAGTGACATCATGTCCCCTCGGGTTTTTTGAGGGAGGACCCGTGACGTGTTCGGGGTCTTCGCGAGGAGCCGGGGTCGTGAGCGGTAGGGAAGTGGGGACCGAGGGTAGGGGGGCTACTTGACCCGGCTGGCCGAGTTGGTCAGCGCTGTGGGGAGAGCCCGTTAGCCTGGGGGGGCGTAGGGGTTCCCAGTAGCTTTCCCCTGGGGAGATTTAGCTCAACCACCAAGTCCTGTGTTAGCCTTTCCCAAAAGCTAGGCGACAGCCCTTAATAAACTGTTGGCGTCAGCCCCGACAACGTCTGCCCTCCGTGTCGTCATTTACACCATAACAACTGATGTCAGAAGTGGCTTCCGTGCTCGCGACCATGTCCAAATCTGGCGCGAGACGGAAGACCGCGCCTGGTGTACCGGCGCATGAAGAGGAAGACGGTGACGCGGCCCTGGCGAAGATCCCGGAGGTCGGGGCCCCGGATACATGCCCCGTGGAGGTGGCCCGGCTGGAGCCGGGGGAGGCGGCGGCTGGGGGAGCTGCGGCGCCGCCAGCCGACGTGTGGTGGGGCGTAGCTGCCCAGATGGAGCTGCTCGAGGTGGGGGTGCGTACACACGCAGGGGGCGATGGGGGGTACGGCCGTCACGACGTTGCCGAGGCCGCGTTTCCCGCCGAACTCCCGGTTGGCGCCAATTCACCAACCGCCGCACCGGGACAGGGCGCCGCCATTTTTTCTGCGACGCCGCCGGCTGCCGCCATTAATTACGTGACGCCACAGGTCGCTGCCATGACACCTGTCATGGCATCGCCCATACGCGCTGCCACTCCACACGTCGCCGCCGATGGCGCTGCGGACTCGCTGCGAGCCGGGGCGGCGGGGGAGGCGGCAGGGGAGGTGGCAGTTGCGGGGCGGGGGGCAATATGCCTGCAGCCTGCCGGGGCCCCGGGTCCGGGCGAGGCAGCTGCGGCCGCGGCGACACCAGCGATCGCTGCTGTGGGTGAGTATGGGCCGGGGGATGGGTCGGCTCACCTTCGGCTGAGACGGCTGCCCCCTGTAGCGCCGTTCGTGTCCACGAAGGGGGACTGGCTGGATTTCCAGGCCTGGTTTGATGCGGCCTGTCGGTCCGTGCGCTGGCCGGAAGAGGAGGCGCTGCTTGCACTGCCCACATGCTTGGACGCTAGGGCACTGCACACCTTTTTGAACATCCCACCGGCGGCGAAGGCGACGCTACAGTCGGCCTACCTGCAGATGGCCGAGGTGTTCGAGCCACCATACGAAGCGCACCTCAAGTTCACCGCGCGCCGCAGGGTGGAGGGGGAATCGCCTCTTGCATTCCGCTGCTCCCTCCTTGCATTGGCTCGGGCTGCATATCCCCACGTGGAAGGGACTGCGCTGGACTCCCTGGTCCTGGAGAGGCTGCTGGTCCTCGCAGAGGAGCTGGGGATTGTGATGTCCATCGGGGCAGGAGCCAAAGGCCACTTCACTGACCATCGCGCAAAATATTCAAGCCTATCTCGCGCTGCGTCGGCCTCCAGCGATGGTGGCGTGTGTGGGTGCTCCAGCGCCGCCAGCGGTGGCGCCGCCCAGCGGGGAGGACGCCCTCATGGCTGCGGCGGCCATAGGCCGCCGCGGGGATGGTAGATATGCTCGCAGGCCAGGGGGGCCGGGGCGGGCAGGACCTCACCGTTCGCAGGCCTGGGGCGGACCACCTGCTTTCGTTGTGGCCAGGTGGGCCACTTTGAGAGGGGGTGCAACAACGAGCCCGGGGCCTTCTCCATGGCCTCTCCTCCTGCGGGCGTCCCTCCAGCAGCAGAGCCTCCCGGGCAACAGGCAAGTCGCGACGCATCCATCGCATGGCCGCTCTCTCCACCTCAGGCATCTCGTAGGGTTAGGGTCCATCTTCATGGGCCCATCTCTGGGGGGTCCGGTTCGGGGCACACGGGGGTGCGCTCGACGATCGGGTGGCCCAGAGGGACTCGCCAGTGGCAGGCCCTCGCGCATCGCGTGGTGGCCGCCGCTGTCGGGTCCTCGGCCGTGGTGGGGCGCGTGCAGGGGGTCGACGTGAGGATCCTGGTGGACACGGGGGCGTCCGCCACCATTGTGTCCGAGGCCGTTTTCCGGTCGCTGCCGCACAGTGTGGGGCCGTGACGGCTGGTTCGCGGGGCATGCGTGGCTGCCAACGGGAGTAGCCTCGGTATTTTGGGTCATGTCGTCGCGTCTGTGGCGATCGGGGAGATCGTGTTGCGGGGACCTGTGTTGGTCTCTAGGACTCTGGCCGTACCGTGCCTATTAGGCACCGATTTTTTGGCCAGAATGCCCGTTCGGATCCTGGTCGACCAGGGGTGTGTGGAGATGCCGTTGGGAGACCAGCTACATTTCCTGCAGTCCCCCTCTGTCGTAGCTCCCCTGGCCGCCAGTGTACGGGCTATGACCACAAAATCCGTGACGGTTCCACCCGGGTCGCAGATCCTGCTCCCCTCAGGCTGCGCACGCCGTTGACGTTGCAGTCCCCGGAGGCAGGCATCCTCCTGTCTCCTTCCAATTATTTTGCGAGATTCGACGGGCTGGTGGGCGCTTTCACAGCCGTGGCTGCGGGCCAGGAACTTTTTTTGCAGGTCCTAAATTCGGGGCCTGCGCCGATCGCCGTCCCTGTTGGTGCTGTGTTGGCGCATGCCACCCCAGGCCCTCCTCCCGGCATCCTTGAGCCGCCGGGAGGGGTGGTGGCGGGAGTACTGCCCGTGGGGGGGGGGGGCGATGCATCATGGATTGATGCGTTGTGCATTGAGAACGCCTCCTTGTCCTCCCAGGAGCGCCAGCGGCTCCGCAATCTCATCGTCAGATTCGCCGATGTGTTCAGCCAGAGCAAATTCGATTTGGGCCGTACCACTCTCCTGGAACATCATATCGACACGGATGGCTCGGCCCCTATTCGACTGAATTCACACCGTTTTAGCCCAGCAGAAAATGATAATGTCCGCTCCGCAGTTAATGACATGTTGGCGGCAGACATTACCTCTCCTTCCACTAGCCCTTGGGGAGCCCCCATCGTGCTAGTCAAGAAACGGGATGGGAGTCTCCGCTTCTGCATCGACTTCCATAAATTGAACAAGATTTCAGTGGCCGATGCATATCCCTTGCCTCGCATGGACGATTCCCTCGACGCCCTCTCGGGTGCGCGGTTCTTTTCGACCCTCGATTTGCTTTCGGGCTTTTGGCAGTTACCATTGGATGAGGCGTCCAGGCCAAAGACCGCGTTCCGCACACCCCAGGGGCTGTTCCAATTCAATCGGCTCCCTATGGGTCTTCATTCGGCCCCGGCCACCTTTCAGCGCCTCATGGAATTGGTCTTGGCGGGGCTGCAGTGGGAGTCTTATTGATTTACTTGGACGACGTTATCGTTTTTGGACATACGTTTGACGAACACTTGCAGCGGTTGGAGGCGGTGTTCGCCAAAGTGCGCACTGCGGGCTTAAAATTCAAACCTCAGAAGTGCCACCTGCTGCAACCATCGGTGAAGTATTTGGGCCACATTGTTAGTGCGTCAGGTGTGGCCACGGATCCGGAAAAGACTGCTTGTGTCCGGACGTGGCCGACTCCTACATCTGTCGCTGAGGTGCGTAGCTTTGTGGGCTTCGCATCGTACTATCGCCGGTTCGTCCGCGATTTTGCCACTATTGCAAAGCCACTACATGCACTCTCTGTCAAGGGACAGAAATTTCGCTGGGGGAAGGAGGAGGAGGCCACTTTTGCGGCGCTTCGCACAGCCTTAGCAGATGCGCCACCCTTGGGGTACCCGGATATCTCCCGGCCGTTCCTCCTCGACACCGACGTCAGTGACACGGGCATTGGGGCTGTCCTGGCTCAGGTTGTCGATGGGGTAGAGCGGGTGGTGGCCTATGGTAGCCGCGTTTTGTCCCCCACTGAGCAGCGGTAATGTGTGACCAGGAGGGAGCTGCTGGCCATTGTTTTCTTCGTCCAATTGTACAGGCCATATCTGTATGGTCGCCGGTTTACCGTCCGGACCGACCATGCAGCCCTGCAATATTCCCTCCAAATTGACCAGCCCTCGGGTCAGC